CCACACAAGAAGCTGACACATCCTGTTAGAGGCACAAGGGGGCATGAACTACAAGTATAGTCTATAAGGAGAAGAAGGCCACCTCAACATAAGGAAGCCAGTACCAAGACAGATGGAGTTAACTGAATCAAACAAGTTGGCAAGTTATTATAATTCTGTTGTAAAGCAATTAAGGCCACCTCAGCATAAGGAAGCCAGTACAAAGACAGCTGGAGTTAACTGAATCAAGTTGGAGTTAACTGAATCAAATAAGTTGGCAAGTTGTTATAATTTTGTTGTAAATCAGTTACATTGAAGGCAAGATTGAATATAAATACAGAGGTGTACTTACAATAAGGGGATAATAAGATGATTTGATCTCTTTTTCTCTTCACTCTCACTTTCCCCTATTCAGGAGGTTATCCTCCCTCGAAGAGGATCTGAGTTGGGTAGCTACCCAACAATTGGTATCAGACCCTACACTATGCCTCCCAATTGCAATCGTGCGGCGCAGATGGTGACATTGGTATTGTAATGTTCGGCCAGGACTAGGTGGACTAGTGCAAAGCCAACCTACATGGGCGTCAGGACTGCAGAGTGTAGTGGAATGTTACGATTCATTTGTCCCATATTAGTAGTATGGGATGCTAATGTGAGGTATTCCACATCGGTAGTATGGGATGCTGTTGTGGGATATATATGTGCTTGGGTTCCCTCCCTCTAACAACTAGCTTTTAGGGGTGAGTTCTCCTAAGGGCACATAACAAATGGTATCAAGACAGATCACTCGACAAAAGTACTCTCACCACAAAATCAAGCTAAATCAACATATGAGAAGGAGCTCATGGCCGTTGTACTTGCAGTCCAGAAGTGGCGGGCTTACTTACTGGGCCGCCGATTCGTCATCAAGACAGACCACAAGAGTCTAAAATTCATACTTGATTAGAAATTCCATACCTGAGCAGTAGCAGTGGGCCCACAAACTCATGGGCTATGACTACATTATAGAATATAAACCTGGTACAACTAATCGAGCAGCTGATGCTCTATCCAAGTTACTTGAGTTGGCACAACTCACTGTCTGTAGGCCCAGTTATCCATTACTTGAGTAGCTTAAAGCTGAAGCCTTTCAAGATGCAGAACTGGCTTAATTAAGGGCCAAATGGGCCTAGAATCCAGCCTTGACCCCAGGTTATTCAGTTCGTGGCTCAACACTCTATTACAAGGGTCGATTGGTTATCTTATCCAAGTCAGCACACAGCAGATTTACTACGACTCTTTCACGATTCAGCTATAGGGGGTCATTCAGGCATATTCAAAACCTACAAGCGTCTGGCAACACATTATTATTGGAGTGGCATGATGAAAACAATAAGGAGTTACGTAACCTCTTGTGATGTTTGCCAAAGACAAAAGTATGAAGCCCAACAACCAGCCGACCTCCTACAGCCCTTGAGCATCCCAGATCAAGTATGGGATGAAATCTCAATGGATTTTATCATGGGCCTACCTTTTTCAAAAGGCAAATCAGTTCTGCTTGTGGTGGTTGACCGRCTATCAAAGTACAACCACTTTATACCTCTAACACACCCTTACACAGTGGCTATGGTGGTAGAAGCATTTGTTAGAGATCACCAGATTACATGGGACACCAAAGGCAATCATCTCTGACAGTGACCCAGCCTTCCTCAGCAGTTTTTGGAGAGAATATTTCATGTTACAAGGCACTTCACAGAACACCTTTACTAGCTATCATCCTTAGATGGATGGACAGACCAAAGTTGTCAACAGATGCATTGAGACATATTTACAATGCTTTGTGGGAGACACACCAAAACAATGGATATAATGGCTGCCTTGGGCAGAGTTTTGGTACAACTCCTCATTCCATGTCTCAGCAGGTATGATACCATTTAAAGCATGAAAAGGGGTCTTCAGCTAGTGCAGCGGTTTATGAGTGTCTTTCATCTCGAGATGAAACCATTCATGATCTGAAGGCTCACTTGACACATGCTCAGGAACTCATGAAGAGCTATTATGATGCAAAACACAGGCCTATTGAGTTCCAGGAAGACGAGTTTGTCTACCTAAAACTCAAACCATATAGACAGACCTCAGTGACCTCCCGCCCCTACAACAAGCTTGCCCCTAGATTCTATGGACCATTCAAAATTCTACAGCACATAGCACCATTAGCCTACAAGCTGGAACTGCCAGTAGACTCCAAAGTACCCCTAGTTTTCCATGTCTCCATCCTCAAGAAAGCTGTCAATCCACAAGCCACATGTGCAACATTACCGGAATTCACAAAAGAAGGGTGGCTATAGCTACAACCCAAGGACATCTTGAAATATGGATGGGTGAAACAAGGTCAAGCCTTTATTAAAGAGGCATTAGTCTACTGGGAAGGGTTACCAAATGAAGAAGCCACATGGGAGCCTTGCATCGAGCTGATACAACACTTTCCACACCTTGGCATTGAGGACGAGTGCCAGTTTGAGGAGGGGGGAGATGTTAGAGGCACAAGGGGGCAGGAACTACAAGTATATTCTAGAAGGAGAAGAAGACCACCTCAGCATAATGAAGCCAGTACAAAGACAGCTGGAGTTAACTGAATCAAACAAGTTGGCAAGTTGTTATAATTCTGTTGTAAATCAGTTACATTGAAGGCAAGATTGAATATAAATACAGAGGTGTACTTACAATAAGGTGAGAATAAGAAGATTTGATCTCTCTCTCTTCACTCTCACTTTCCCCTATTCTGGAGGTTATCCTCCCTCGAAGAGGATCTGAGTTGGGCAGCTATCCAACACATCCCCCTTGAACAACACATTTGAACTCAGCCACCCTCACAGATCATCTACAACTGAATTTATCACCTTTTCTACTTGGAGCTGCTTTTGATAAAAAAACCCTCTTATTTCTCTCCCCCAAAATGGACCACAGGACTGCCAAAGGAATTGCATTCTACAGGGTCCTACCCTTTTTTCTTATACCCCCAACTTTCCAGTTCTCAAGAAGGGACTTGACAGAACTAGGCATGAAGAAGGAATATTGAATGGCCTTGAAAAAATGCGTCCAGATTCTTGAAGAGAACTCACAGTGGAGAAACAAGTGGCTGGAAATCTCTTCTCCCTTGCTGCATAAGATACAAGAGACATCTGGCAGCACCAACCCTTTTCTAACCAGCCAAGTCTTTGTCAAACACTTTTCTCCAACCATTATCCAAACAAAAAACTTCACTTTAGAGGGGGCCAGACCACCCCAGACTATTTGACTGGGGAAAGCCTAGAAAGGCAGGCTCCAAACCAGAATACAAGGACTTAACTGAGAAGGATTCAGACTTGGACCATCCCCAACAGCACTGATTCGGAGCCAGAGGGTTTAACCTTTATACCTTGCAGCCTTGACAACAGCTCTACCACCTGAAGAATCTACCAATCATTAAAATCTCTTCTGAAAGAGGGAACCCAGACAAGAGATCACCTGAAGCAGCACAGCAATCAGCTACCGAAGCTTCTTTATCATCAGCCAGGAGAAATAACTCTGGAAACTACTCTTTCGAAGGGATGTCAGAGCACCAAAATTCATGCCAAAATTTTAGCCTGGTACCATTCCCAACCTTATATTTAATTCCTTTCACAAAATGGGGATAAGCTTTATAGATCCCCTTCCACACCCCACATCCATAAGAGAGATTAGACTCAGCCGCATCCCACCCCATTAACATGGAAGCCATACTTCAGCGCTATAACTTGCCTCCAAAGCTCATCAGGCTCCTTGAGGAACCCCCAGAACCATTTACAAAGAAGGGCCAGATTGAAAGATTTCAATTTTCTAATTCCCAAACCACCACACTTGATTGGTTTTTAAATCTGGTCCCAATTAACCAGATGTAACTTGTTAGAATCTTTCCAACCCACCCAAAGGAAGTCTCTCATAATTTCTCCAGCGTCAAGGCTACTTCCAAGGGAATTCGAAACAAAGACATATAATAAACAGGGATGCTGGCCAATACACTCTTTAAAAGAGTTAACTTGCCCCCTTTAGACAGGTAATTCACTTTCCACGAAGCTAACTTACTGGTAATTTTTTCTACCACTGAGGACCAAATGCTTTTAGAAATGCACTTGGCTCCTAAAGGCAGCCCCAACTAGGAGGAAGGAAGAACCCCAACCTTACAGCCCAACAAATCTGCCAAGGACTACAGGTTTTCAACCTCTCCAACAGCCATCATTTCACTTTTCACCAAGTTGACCTTTAAATCTGAAACTACTTCAAACCAGCAAAGAATATATCTCAAATAAGTTACTCGCTCTGCTTTAGCACTGCTAGAAAATAGTGTATCATCTGTAAATTGAAGTAGGGGAATTGGTTCCCCGTCGTTGACTGTTTCAAACCCTTCTAGGCAGCCACTTTCAACAGCTCTAGCAGTCATCTTACTCAAGCCTTCAATGACAATGAGGAACAGGAGAGGGGAAAGAGGGTCTCCTTGCCTTAGACACCTAGAGCTTTTAAAGTTACCTTTTGCAAGAACCATTTAACAGGATTGAGAATCTAGGTGTGGTGACACAAACCTTCATCCAATTCCTCCAGGTTTGACCAGAACGCATCCTCTTCAACATATAATCTGAGAAAGCCCAATTTACATGGTCATAGGCTTTCTCTAAATCAATTTTGTACACAAGGCCCTTCTTGCCACTTTCTTTTCTTGAATCAATTAATTCATTGGCTATCAATACTCCCTAGATTTCTTGACATGTAACTGTTAGGAATGAGCACTGCCTCATCTTTCAGAGGATAGTGAGATTGCAATGAGATCTTGGGTTCTGTTATGCAATTTTGAAGTTCAAATGTTTCATTGTGTTTTGTTGGCCATGTTGTATTCCATTTCTATTGTAATTCTTATAAATCAATTGTCTTTACCAAATAATTGTATCTTTTTCCATAAGATGTGTTTTTCAAAGATTAATCATTAGTTTTTTTTTTTTTTTTTTAAATGGCATTTTGAAACTTGACAGGTACGATCAACTGCAAGAACTTGCTACAGAATGTTTTCTAAAACTTGGCCAGAACGTTCTCGTCGCCTTTTTTTATCCTTTGATCCTGTCATACAAAGGGTATGGAATTTCTATTATTATTAGAAGCCCTTTCGTCTTGTCTTGATTATTGAACCAAGTGCCTGATGTGATAATTGCTACGCAGATTATAAATGATGAAGATGGGGGTATACACAGACGGTACGCTTCCCCGTCTTTGCGTGAAAGAGGTGTGCAACTGTCACGTACTCCATCTCAAACACCTGCTTCTTCAAATATACCTGGATATGGAACTTCTGCTATTGTTGCCATGGATAGGAGCGCAAGTCTGCCATCAGGGACATCCCTTTCTTCTGGCCTTCTTTTGTCACAAGCAAAATCAATTGGTAAAGGTACTGAAAGAAGCCTTGAAAGTGTGCTGCATGCAAGCAAACAAAAAGTTACAGCTATTGAAAGCATGCTCAGAGGTCTAGATATGTCTGAGAAACATGGTTCTTCAACTGTGCGGTCAACAAGCTTGGATCTAGGTACAAATAATTGCATTTGTTATTTATCATTTCTTATCAAAATAAATGATTGAGTATAAATCTTTCTTGTTGAGTAGCTAAAGCATTAATAAGTTATTCCTAAATCTTGGGGTTTGGGAATCCTTTGTAAATGGTTAATTTTTCCCCTGTTCTTGGCCCTAGTGCAGGAGTTGACCCTCCATCAGCTCGTGATCCACCATTTCCTGCTGCTGTTTCTGCTTCAAATCATCTTGCAAGTACAGTGTTGGCTGATAAAATGGCCTCTAATGGTGCTAAAGGTAGTACTCGTAATGGTGGTTTGACTTTTTCTGATGTAATTACTCAGGTTCAAATATCAAAAGATCCTGGGAAATTATCTGACCTTCGTAATCTTGGCACTGAGCCTTTGTCAGCATTATCATTGTCCTACACAACCAAAAGAGCTTCAGAAAGACTACAAGGTTCCATTGAAGATAGTACTGATATCAGGGGGCAGAGGCGATTTTTAAACACACATTTTGACAGGCAATACTTGGACACACCTTATAAAGATTCTCATTTTAGGGATTCACAGAACAATTATATTCCAAATTTCCAACGGCCACTTTTGAGAAAGCATGTAACTGGGAGGGTCTCTGCAAGTGGTAGAAATAGTTTTGATGATAGTCAACTACGACTTGGTGAAATGTCAAGCTATATGGATGGTCCAGCATCTCTCAATGACGCTCTGACTGAAGGTCTTAGTCCCACTTCTGATTGGTGTGCTAGGGTTGCTGCTTTTAATTATATCCGGAATTTGCTGCAGCAAGGGCCAAAAGGGATTCAAGAAATTACACAGAGTTTTGAGAAGGTTATGAAGTTATTTTTTCAACATTTGGATGATCCCCACCATAAAGTTGCACAGGCAGCCCTTTCAACTCTTGCTGAGATTATTCCGTCTTGCAGAAAACCTTTTGAAAGTTATATGGAAAGGATATTACCACATGTTTTCTCACGGTTAATTGACCCAAAGGAGTTGGTTCGGCAGCCTTGCTCCACAACTTTGGAGATTGTTAGCAAGACTTATGGTATAGATTCTCTTCTACCTTCTCTGCTTCGTTCATTGGATGAACAACGGTCCCCAAAAGCAAAATTGGCTGTAATTGAGTTTGCTATTAACTCCTTCAACAAGCATGCTATAAATTCTGAAGGTGCTGGTAACAGTGGCATCTTAAAGTTATGGCTTGCTAAGTTGGCACCTTTGGCCCATGATAAAAATACGAAACTGAAGGAAGCAGCTATTACAGGAATAATATCTGTTTATTCCCATTTTGATTCATCATCAGTCCTTAGTTTTATTTTGAGCCTATCAGTTGAAGAACAGAATTCGTTAAGGCGAGCACTCAAGCAGTACACCCCTCGCATAGAGGTGGACTTAATGAACTTTCTGCAAAATAAGAAAGAGCGGCAACGTTCTAGATCTTTCTATGATCAATCAGATGTTGTTGGAACTTCATCTGAAGAAGGGTACGCTGAAGCATCAAAGAAAGGTCACCTTTTTGGAAGGTATTCTGCTGGTTCAATTGATAGTGATGGTGGTAGGAAGTGGAGTTCTGCACAAGATTTAACCCAGATCACAGGTTCTGTTGGTCAAGTGGCTTCTGATGAAACTCGGGATCATTTCTATCAGAATCTTGATACTGGGTCCAACACTGAGTTTCTCGCTTCCAAAGGTAGGGATCTAAAATTCAACGCTAATGCCATGGGAGAAAATGCTGGATCTTGGGTGAGCCAAACTGAAAATGAAGATCATAACACCGGTATGGAGAATTCTTTATCAACTCCACGTATGGACATGAATGGACTGGGGAAATCTGACCACCTGGGATTGAAGCTTGGTCATGAGGGTTCTCCTGATTTGGATTCTAATAAACAGAACCTGACAGTTAAACTTAGCTCCACYCCTGATTCAGGACCCAGCATTCTTCAAATTCTCCACCAGGTAAGTTCTGGAAACTCTTTCCTTGGAGAAACTTATCATTTTTCTGGAAAAGATCACCTATGTCTGTGTCTTATAGTAGTAACTGAGACACATTGAAGACACATCATTTTTTTT